GACATGCAGACGTGGTCTGTGAGTAACGATAATTTTACTGCCTTTGCGCAAATAGGCTTATTTTAGGCAGCATTAGCACTACTCGCATGTCATTTTTTAACATATCTTAATAGTTCGTTAATCACCAAGGAGACGGACATTGAGGCATTTCCAAGCCAAATGAGCTAAATATCAAAATTTTCGAGACGAAGGTTTTGACATCTAAATATTGCATGAATCGCCGCTAATAAACAGTTAAAAGAGCCGTATTCTAAACATCGTCAAAGGTAGTTGTAACATCTACGTATCTACATATAGCTCTGGCTGTATGTCAAGACTAATTTGCTTTTCTAAAAGAGCTAAGTGCTTTGCAATGACCTCCATTTTGTTTGTTATTGTGATTATGTGGCCTGATTGTGTTGTGGAGGATGTAAATTTCTTCTTTTACTGATTTTTAGCATGGGATATGGATGAGGTGGCAATTGCAATTTAGTCAGGAAATGTAAAGTGTAAAAGCTTTTAATGCACAAAAGGGTCGATGCTGCCATTCAAGACTAATCCGATGATTCAAGATCTTGAAAATGGGACGTAAATTTCTAGTCAAAGAAGAAGCAGAATCCCAGTCATTAAACATCTAAACTGCACATCTCTAGCGAGACTTGCTTACTGGTTGAAAAGTCGGCAATAGTTGTAGTTAAAATCAAAGTTTCACTGACAGAGTATATTCCAAAACTAGTGCTTAAACCAAGAATCAAGGCGGAACAAATTGTTAATGTGTTGAGGCTGCGAAGTATTTGTTAGATACGTTAGGAGAGAATTAGCAGAAACTGCAACGAACATCGCCTTTTCTAGCGATAATTTTCATCAGACAAGAGTGTTCTGAAGAAGAAGAAAAAACCACACAAATTGAAGAAGATTGTTACTGTGGAGAAAGAGTCAACGAGAATTGAAGAGATTGTCATGGTTACTTCTGACCAGACGAAATTAAATATTTCGTTGCGAATTTCGTCGTTTTTACTGCACGTTAGACCACAGAAAGGTGCTGGAAATTGCCAGGCAGCACCTCTATTCGAACTTTGAGTGCGCCCAACACATTTTACATAGCCTGTGTGCACGGCAAACTGCTCGCGGCGCCTCTGATGACAATGCGAGTGCGCTGCGTCTGCAGCTGGATTCCGAGAATTCTCACAATGGCACATAATTTATCGCGGCCGCTCAGGAGCTGCTGCGATCTCTTAGTGACGCTCCGAACTAACGGGAAGCAGTTGACCACCAACATCAAAGAACTTGGTACGAAAGAAATGAGTATTTGGTCAACTGGGAAGGAATTAGCGCGTTTTGTTTTAGTAAAATTAGAATCTTGAAGACGGGAAGTTTGGCATGTATGATCTTTTCTTCTTAAATGCCTTCAAATATCAGCGAAACTGCGCTGATCGACACTTGGCGCTAAATTTGAATCAATTTGGCGGTCAATGCCAACAACGAAAATTTATGCTCTTCCTACAAGAGTTAATTTGTCTGACAATGAATCTAGTGGTGTTAAACAGCACACATATTCTCGCATTATTTTAATTGTTTCGCTGTATATTACAGCGGAACAGTTAAAGTGCATATATTCAGCAGTGAACACCAATTTGTGAAATTAAATAATCGACATTTCTTAAGTAAACTTTGTTTTTTATGAAATCCCTATGGGCAAATCTGTCTATCAACGTGTATAAATTTTTCTATGACCTGTGAATGATACCATTTCTGAAACTAAAACAAGCAAAATAAATTAATCAATAGACATAAGTACTGAGCAAGCCATGGGAGGCAAAAACTAGATATTAGTATTTTATCATAAACTATTAATAGCTTACAAGCGAGGGATTTGAGCAAGTTGGAATACATACCTGCCCCAAACATTGAATTTCAATTTCAATAAAGAAACAAAAATTTAATGTCGTGTTGCACATATGAAGCACTCCGTTCAAAATATTGTTCACACATGCATACCACCATCCACACCTTTGATCCAGTTCGCTTTTTCTGCAAATGAGGAATTTTTGTTTTGACAATTCGAACACTCTTCTTAAGCATGTAACAGGAAACTGAACCTGCTCTTGACTGATGAACTAACATCATAGCGCAGGGCCATTAGACGAATGGGCATGCGATTTACCTTCAGTTAGCTTTGGCATACAAATTCCCACAATTGACATGTTCCTATAGGAAGGGAAAGCAGGAGAAAGTTACCTTCATGAGAAAGATGGGATATGGACATAGACACTGATTTATGAATATTAATTCAATTATACAAACGTCCAGAATGAAGTTATATTTTCCGCTTTAGTAATACTCTCCTCTCAAATTAAATACTTTTTAGAAACATAATTTAAAGTATGTACTGTACATTTTTATTTGTAAAAAAAGGTAGTTAGTGAGAAAATTAATTCAATACATAGAAATAATTTTCGTTGTATAGAAATATTTCAAAACGGAATTTTCGAAGGACAGAAATAATTCGATTTATAGAAAATTTCAACACATACAGGTTAGAAATAGGGAGGCCCTGCTGAAAATGTACTTACTTTTTTTCCAAAATATGAATGAAAATGTAGAAAACATGTAAAATAAAAATTCATTGTAGAGTTTAAAAATTCTTCTGTATAAGCATTTTCTAACAATGCTAATTATATCTTAGTCTAGTATCAATCAAACACTATAAAAAGCTACTGCTGTCTACACTTCCTAGCATCACAAATTTCCCACAGGTCAGGTGTGGGATAGCTAAAACCATTATAGTTGTCTTTGCTGTTTGAATACATTTTGTGCTCCGAGATTTCACATTTTAGGAAGTTTCAAAGGTTCAATCTTTCTAGATGTATTTTTCTGGTGTTTTTGGTATTAAAGTTTCCATTCACTTCAGTTAATACTATGATGAAAATATTTGATTATACGTTAATTATTGCATAATAGTTACAACAATTGTTAAAATGCACTGATGTTCGAATACTTTTTACACTCACTGTACTTCTACCACCTTTAGGGTTAATGCTGCAAAATTCATTCATCCTTCATAAGGTCTCAGTATGTCGTTAGCAATTGTGCCTGGGATGAGGCACTTCTGAGCAGCAAGTCTTGGTACTCTGGCCACAGAAACCAAAGTCTTCACTTTCAGTTCCAACTGGATGGGTGGCCCAAGAGGTGTAGGGGTCCTTGTGAATACAGAATCCTCCTTGCAAGAGAAGAGCTTTTCCATATGGTACCTTTGATGATCTTACTTCAACTCACTGAAGATTGCTCAGTGAAAATGACACCGAAATGTAATCCCACTGCTTCCTTTGATGATAGTCAGTCAATACTTATTACCCGAGCTGAGATTCTAATGACGTTATCTTTTCATTGGTGCACTCTACATGTAGCTAACTTGTAAATGAATATTTTTCACAACGTATAGGTGACGGAAATGTATAGTTATTGGGTAATTATTTGCAATTTTTCCAATTTTTAGGTCATTTTTTTGAACTTTTGTGACCATTTTTTACTTTTTTTGCATTTCTTTTTCCTTTTCATGTTTTTTGTTAGTGAATGTTTCAAGAATTTACAATGCCACCCTAAAACAGTTTTTATTGTCTTATCAGTTCATGATCAAATTCACTACTGAAGTGGACTCAATTAATTAAAAACACTCAAAATTACACAGATCTTTGGTAACTTCCTCGAACTTTCAAAACTGAAGATTGGAGCTAAGGATTACACTTCCTTCTAAAATATAACTTTACGTCAATAAATTTTATTTAAAATTGTAAAATCCATTGTATAAAACACTTTAACTTTAACATTTTTTAGTATTTTCATAAAAAATTAGGTCATTTTCCCCTTATTTTAAGTCTTTTTAGGTAATGTTCAAAGAATTTTTAGGTCATCAGAACCCAAGTCCTGCTTATTTCACATTGGATAGTGCTGCCTAACTAAGAACTTGGCAAACTGTTAGCAAATGAATGAAATCTTGTAACCGTACGCAGAACCCCAGTCCAATAAACCGCCAAAAGAAAATATTATTGTTTTGGAAAATAATATTTAAGTAAATATGTCAGTAGAAGAAGAAACAAGAGACAAAGTGAATGTAGAACCGAATTTTATATTCTCCTTAAATAACAGGGGAACATTCGAACTAGAAAACCAGTGTTAAAAAATAAACCATTTTAAGAATCATCTGAAAGCAATTCAAAAAAGGGGGCAAAAATTTAGAAGAGGAACTTAAAGAGGCTGAAAGATACTTACACGGAGAGACAATTGAATACATGCAAGTGATGTAAGTAGATTTCGGAGTAAGTTATAATTTTGGCAAAGCAAGTGAACCAGAGGGCAATGAACTTTGGGAAACGCAGTGAACATTTTCAGAACCTCTGAAAAGTGCCAAATCAGAATAGAGGTAAAGAAAATATAAGATCTTCCAAAAAGATCTCGGTGGCAGAGGAAAGCAAGCATTTTATTTTTTATTGTTGAAAAACAATCAAAAGACTGAACTGTGTGAAAAGGGACACGGAGGGATGATAGATTCTGAGCTGATGACATGTGCTAGTATGTGCTGGCAAGTTATTGGGTTTTTTGGGAATGAAATGTTATTGGAGAAGTGTATTGGGAGCCAGAAATATGGCATTGAGTAGCTTGCATAGAAACGCATAGGATGTGTGGAATTATGAAACGGTGAGCCCAGCTGATGAAACTTTATGGTGAAATGGTGGATGGAATGGATCTGCGAGCCGACGATGATTTCACAGTCAGGGAAGTGAACATCCTGCAAAAATTACCAGTGCGTATGGAATAAAATTATAAGAAGGCCAAGTATTGTAGCAGATTTAGTAACACATAATAACTTAAACAATGTACATGGCCATAAAAATTATAATGTGCATGGTATGAATGAGAATAGTACAAATATTTTGTTATTAAACGTGAATGTTAAATTTAGATTTTTTTGTTATTGTATAGAAGGTTGTTTTTTTATTGTTTATGTGTAATGATTTTATCAGTAGTGTCATAGAGGAAAGTAGTGACGGTGAAGAATAACGCTGCCAAATAAACAACAGTATCACCAAACACGGTACTGAATATACAGTTCTAAATGTCTAAGTCTCTTTTGGTTGTAGATTAAGAAAGGTAATTTACCCTCACATTACCAATAAGATAACGAGAAATATCATTTTACCCCATTCTGTACAGGAGGGAACTACAGAACCACGACCCAATATAAATTTTCAAGGGGCAACACTGCTCATGTCGAAAAGATTATTATTTTAAAATTTGTTACACAGAGTTTGGGTCTCTGGTAAATAAGTAATAGATGAAAGGAAATTATTCTAAGGCATGATGGGACGATCACAATCCGAAGTGCATGTACAAACTTGTTTCAAAGTAAGAAAAAAGGGAAAAATAGAGAAAGAAATACCATCTTGGAAAGACGCAATTTCTAAATTAATATTCAATGGACAGGTTTTCTTTACAAAAAATGTTTTTACGAAAAAAAGTGATAGTTGTATCTCACAGGACAAACCATGATTTTGAAGTAGTTTCTCTACTATGAAATGACTCCACACTCACACTACTTCAACTTTGGTCTGGAGACCCGAGAGAAATTTGTAAGTATCCATAACTCTGCTCTCTAGACCAAACAAACATGGAATCATGTAATAGACTGCTGGAAATTGTATTGCGAACAGCACTTTGTGTAAAAAAAAAAAAAGAATCCAAGTTAAATTCACAGAGTTTTAGTACTCCAATGACTTTTAATAATATCTAAGAATACAAACCAGTAAGGCTGAAGAAAATTAAAAATTCAAACGGGCACTATAAACATTTTCATCTTAGGTAAAATTTTCTACATTCAAATGCCATATTTCACACAACGTCCCTTCTTTTCATTATATACAATACAGAGTGCAAGATAAATTATTTACTACAATGAGGAAACAACAAATATCCAATAATGCATCTGACTCATTGTTTACTTTGTTGTTTTGGGGGTACCCAGGCTTCAATTTTTGGCCTTGTAGTACTGTATGGTACGTAGGCACCTTCAGTTCCAGATTTATTCTCTGTATGATCTGCCATCCATGGGTATCTCACACGGGAAGGGTCCTAAAAACAAAACCATTCATTTTAAATTTTCACTAATAATCCATCAAAACAATGTCTCACTTAAAAAATGTTGATTTCAAAATATCATAAGTGACTTCTGCAAGAAAGAATTTCAAAATTAAAAGTAATATGTAGGGTAAAAAGAAATTATTTTTCTTAAACTTCACATTATGTTTGAAACTTGCTAATTTTTTCTTAAAGTTACACAGGGGTTTGATTCTGAAATAATTGCATGCTTTTCCAAAAGTGAACACCATGCTAAATGGAAGATCATAAATGTTGTACCATAAGAATTTATGGCAATATTATACTATTATGTAAGATAGCTATTCACAGAGCTCATTGGAAATTTGAAGAAAAAGAGGAACAACCTTTTACAAAATTTCAAAAAAAGAAAAGGACTCTACATAATTTGCTGCCACTAGGCATCATTTGTTTAGTCAATACTCATTTCTTTTCAATCTTCTAATCCTGGTTAAAGATTTTACATTCTCTATTTTTCAATGTTAAATAATAATAATTGAAGACCTTTGGCATAAATAATGATAATCCACAAAATGAGGTTTTTTACTTTTTGTATATAAACAAGTATTCAACTAGACCTTTCTTCTGGTCACAGAAGTTCATGAACATTCTAGGAGAAAGAAGCATGATACATTTTTAATTCTATAATAGATGCCTCAAGTAAATATTAACAACCCTCATTATATACCAAGGTGGAGGCTCAGGAATACAAGATTTTGTATTTCTATGTATGATTGGGGGATTGTAAGAACTTCAATTAATGAAAATGCATTGAAGACTACTAATAGTTACTACATTACTTTTTTACTCATACCTTTGAGGGAGGAAGATCAGTTTTATAATGCAACCAACCATACCACTCAGCTGGTACTTGACTGCCATCATAACTAAGGCCCACTTGGTCAGCATATTCAACCCACCTATTGCGGCCTAAAACAATCAAATTCAAGAATTAGTATTCAATAAATAATAAAAATTTTATTGTATTACACACTAGTCTTCGGAATATTATTAGGACAAATGTTTTTAATTGTAAGACTCGTACTAACATAGAGAGGTTAATAAAAATCATGATTAAAAATGGGATTTTATTATTTAAATCGCATCATTTTCTTTTAATTTAAATATTCACATTAGGTCAAAAATTAAGAGCTCATTAGAACAATGGGCAGGCAACAGAGCTCATTGACCTAGTTCTGCGATATTAAGTGTTTTACAAAACTTTCATAAAATAACTCAGAAACCACAGATCAGTAAAATCTTCCTGGGATACTTTTTTATACATATCAAGGCAACTTTCTGCAAATAATGACAAAAAATATTAATATTTTATTACACAATTTTGCAGTTCAATTGTTCTTGTTTCACAAACACTGGTTCTGTCCTTTAAGTACCCTTTCTTTTGCAAGAAGAAAAAAAAAAAAAAAAAAAAAAAAAAAAAAAAAAAAAAAAAAAAAAAAAAAAAAAAAAAAAAAGACTTAATAGGTCCAAATAAATATGCCTTTTGAGTATTATCATTATCCAGTTCATAGACATCACCAACTTTTTCATCATTCGAAATTTACGCACATCATTCTCTTTGGCAAGGGTTAATGTCAACACGCACTTTGGCTGGCACAAACTTTGTTTCTTTTTAAATATACCCTTCTCCATTATTCCTGCACTTCTAATATTTTTTTTAGTTTTCTTGATAAATTTTCTTTTATTTGACCTTCAATTTTTTTAATAATGCTTTGTAAAATTTACAATAATTTATATCTTTAATCTAAATCAATTATTTTTTTGGTGAATCATTATGAATTAAATTGTGATTTAAATCATTGAAACCCTGGTAGATAGTAATACAGAAAATGAAAAAAGAACAAATCGAAGTCAATTAAGACATTGAGAGCCATGAGGCTGGTGGCAGACTCAAATGAGTGCCATTTGAGAACCCACGGGAATGCTGACAAATTAACCGCACATATAAATTCTAGCAAATATATTTCATGACACCAAGACACTGTAGTGTCTCATAATTCCTCTGGGTGAAACAAAAAATATCTTGTGTGGCAGGTAGTTTGTCTGGGAATGTCATAACTGTATCTCAAATAACACGTATTCCTCACAGAATACTGAATCACAGTTTGGCTTCTGCAAGAGATCAATGCACCTTGTAACAGTGACACTCAATGTGTTAAGTATTCTCACAAACTGGATGACTTGATTTTTTCTGTTTTAAAACAACTTCATAATTCCTTAAAAATTGTAAGAAAGAAATGAAATAAAGACAAAGAAACTACAAAATATTATTACTACTAAAGATTATTTTCTTCTTTAGACTTTGTCCTTTCATCAACATGAAATATTATTAACAGGATTACAAAACATGGCTTCACATGTAATGATAGATAACATTATTAGAATAAGTAAGCTCTACAACTAACAGATTATTAACTCTATAGATTGCACTTGAACATAATTCATCTAATACAGTAACAAATATCAAATTATTCAATGATTGTTGAAAGAGCATTAAACTAATTTAGCAATTCAATGTCTTGTTGACTGGTAATAGATGCAGATGATTTGAATTTAAGAAATCATTACTTGGAAGGAAATAAGTACACTAACTACTCCAGAAATTAATACTAAGTTTCTTATTCTTCTACAAATTTACTTTGTATTTTAATACACATGTGGTGTTGTAATTCAATTTTAAAAGATCAACTCAACAAAATACACCAATATATTAATTCCCTGGTGTACCACTATAGAGAAAAAATACCCACAAGTTTGCAGTCTACTTTGAATTTAAATGTCAAATCTAAGGAAAGCACAAACATTTTATTATTGTTTCTAATTACGATCTTTGGATCAAACAAATATTATTCATCACTGTGTAATGATTAAAATATAGAACTTTTCTCAAACACTACATTAAAAATTAATTCTACATGTAATGATCAGTGACATACAGTTGTGTCACAGTAACAATGAAGTGGCCACATCATGTAAACCAGTCATAAAGAATTGACACATTACATCTGTGTCACATTAATGATTAAAAATCTAATTAAAAGAACAAGATGAAATAACCAAGATCTTTTGCAACAATAAAACTTTTTGTTTATAACTTAACTTACCATAAAAGTACATCTTATTTTCAAAGTACTTATTTCCATATTTGTCCTCTCCAATAAGAGTACCTACTTTAGCATCATCCATTCTGAAACATTGCATTTGAATATTGTTAAATTATATATATTCTATGGGGAAAAAAGCATTAGAATTTAAATGAATTTCACTTTCTGAGGTTCAAATTATTTTTTAATAATACACATGAAAAATTTATTATATAGTTATGGATTGTAACACACAATCAAACAAGTACTAGATATATTGAGTATCACAATTTTGCCTGCAAACTAACATAACAAATTACAGCAAGATTTTTTTAACATTTTCAACAGTAGAATTTGCATCTTTTATAACACCTAACCTAATAATTGAATAACTAGAAAATATTCACCTATAAAGCTTATATAATGTGCCTGTAATACCGCCATTAGTTTTTAGTATTTCAAACAATCGTGCAACTTTGTCCAAAGCCAGGAGTTTAGCCATTTCACTGAATATTAAAGTCAAGCGAGCACTTTACGTTACTCAAAAACCCAGCAGACAGAACAGCTGGGGCAAGATGAGCAGAGCAGCACGACCGACAGACACGGTACCGTCATCAAGCACTCTCTTTCCGTCAATATACGAACTCTTCATTAGAGCTCTCTCATGACTTATACTTTCCAACCTAGATAGTAGCAGCATCTGTTATAAAGAGCAATACAAGTATGTTCGACTCGCTGTAGTTAGGTTTGAGACCAACAGAGTGCGTGGGTTGCCACTTGCAGAGCATGTCTGCCAATAGAGGCTTGGATAAACTGAATTGTGACGAGAGCGAATATTGTGCAAAATTAATCCTGTGCATTTAGATAGCTGCTCGAAGTGAACGTGCGTGAACGTAGAGTTGGTAAGTCAGAGGAACAGTATGATGTGTTTGTGTGAACAATGTTAAATTATAAGATTTGGAGTTGTGGCTAAACCAGACGTTGTTGAGGTGCTGAAGATCGTGTAACCAGGAAGTGGGATAAAAATAGCTACTTTTAGATAAATGGAATGAGGAAGTGTTAATTGGAATTCTTTAAATAATTAAATTCCTATAAAACGTTCGATATTGTACTTTATTTTTATTTACAATTAATGTTAATGACATTTAATATGAATGTTAATGACACAGTTAATGACATTTTATATGAAAATTATGTTACATCTTATCATTTTAAAACATTTTCTCAGACATTTTTTCTTTTTATGGCGTTAATAAATATCTAGTTTTGTCTCGAATACACTTTTAAAGGTACCAACAGTCTTCGAATCGGGGACACTAGTCATTGAGTAATAGCGCGCTAGACGTCTCCAAAATAGAGGCGGACAGAATACTTGCAAAAATTGTATTTAATACATTCAAACTACTATGAACAAGTGCAATTGATTTACGTGAGACTTCACAAATCCAATATCAGTACTGTTGTAGTATCCGAAGTTCGATAACTCATCACATTTCGAAAACAATGAGAATCAGCGCGAAAGAAAAATTAATCTACGTGTCTACATAAAAATTACCTCATTCAGACGTTTGATGGCGCTTATTCTAAAATATTCCCCTTTATTTATGAAATTCTCAGAAAATATAGCGAAACCATTTGGGCGTTCCTTCAACTACAAGTCCTTATAAGCTGATATTAGTAGCAGCAATTAACTCTGCCTTCACAGCCGCCTGCGTCATTATTTCATCTCAGATACTCACGCAGATCGAAATTTCAATGCCAAAATACCAATGTAGGAAATTCATTACCTTCCATAAAACCATTTTTTCATAGATAATTCTCTTATAAATAATGCTGATGAGTCGAAACTGCATTTAAATTGCCCGAAACTTAAATATTACGAAACCGAGTCTTGTCCAAAATTCAAATTTCCTAAACTTCTCCATATTTTGTTTTTTGGCCCTGCTAGTGTTTTCTTTTGTAAGTATTTTTTTCAATTGATTTTGCTATGTGTTAAATTTTCATCCTATTTCAAGTGTCTACTGTACTTCATTGAGGATACTTTAATTTCAGCGGGTATTGCTGGGTATTGCATTTGATGTTTCCGTCATTGTCTGAATAGGGTTTACATTAGACTTAGATATTTGTTGTACGCGCGGAACCTATTTAATATATTAAATGGTGCTACAAGATTAAGGTTGGTTACACAATGTTAAATATTGAACATTGTTTTGTAGCTTGTCCAGATTTTTGGATTTAACTCTGATACGGATTCATTTTTAAACGATACATTTTTTAGTGACTGTCATATTAATCGCCTGAAATTAATGCCGGGCAATATTTTCTAGGATGAAACATTTCTAACAAAGGATATTCACTAAAGCTTCAAAAATTCAATACGCAGTGATTTATCCAGCCACGTTCTACGTTACAATACATTAAATCGTGGTAACTCATTATAATATTTTTAATTACTGCACCCTACAAAAGTTTAAAAAAACAACAACTATTCCTCATAGGATGTCAACCAGACTTCTTTAGGTGAGGTCAAAAAACAAGCAAATCTGGAAATACCAAAGGAGAGCCAGTGTAAACCATATGTTAATTTATAGTTGTTCATAGTCTTTTTTGCGCTACACCATTACACATTGTGTTTTTTTTTACATTTGAAATATAATTATAACTGTAGCAATAATTATTCAGAAGAGAAGGGTGAGGATGTAAAAGTTAAACGTTGTTAAAAGGGGGAGTAGAATTGTTAGAAAAAATTATACACTTGCTAACGTTTTAAATTGAACAGTCTCTTTCAAAGAACGAGATTATATACCTCATACAATTTCGATGTAACTTTTTTCTTAAATTTTTTAAAAATATTCTTTACTAATATCATGGCATTTATTAAACGATATTGTTACCATATTTACAAAAACGTAATGTAAAAATTAGTTTCTTTAGCAATTTTACATCAATATCGTAAATATAATATCTATTTACATCCTCTTTGCTGTAAAACATTTTTATGAAAGAAATTTTCTTCGTGTTATTGGAGTTATATTTACCACACCCCTAGAGTTTCTGAGCCCCCGCACCCATTGCAAATTTCTACACCATTTCGTAAAGCTCAGCATATCAAAAACAAGAAAATTTTTAATGTTAAGTTATGTTATCGGGATAATAAAGGTGATGAATGCATTTCGTTATGACAGCATTCTCGTGGGCATGCCTACTCTATCGAGGTTATCGTGTGAAGATCTGCCATCCTTATTTGTTTCAGCATAATGGCGCAGGGGATGAGAGCTCCGTGGAGAGAATAGCGGATACACGGCTCCCGTATGCGAGTTTAAATCAGGACGATGACTTTTGAACATACCAAACGAAAGGGAACATTTAGAACTTCAATGTCTTTTTTTTTATAAAAAAAAACATTTCCAATTTTCCATTGTAAACATAAATATTTAATATTCTAGCGCTATGAAACGCAGTGTCTACTACTTAAGTTATTCGTCCAGGTATCTCCCCTGGCGGGGAGCTACCTCATTCGGGGCGAGCTTTCAGCTCGTAACACGTCTTCCGCCATGTGTGGTAAAATAGTACGCGTGTGTGTGTGTGAGGATAGGGTATGGAAGAGGAAGAAAAGATGGGGTGTGGTTCGTGGCCGGTTTGTTAGGTACTGCTCCGGCATTCCTCTAGTGTTGATCGGAGAAACCACGGAAAACTACAAGTCAGAACAGCCGGTCATTAGAATTTTCCTCCAGACATTGTTTGAATTCGACAGTGGTTGAAAAGCAATTATGTCTATCAATAATGTAAATTGGAAGTAATTTTATTACCTTCCCCGCCATCCTTATCCCACTCCTCTGGGCTCACTCTTCACGTTGCTGCTTGCTCTCTCCCATCTGCTCGCATCTGCCCACTCCACTATGCGCGTGTCCGTTGCGTGTTAAGTTCGTGAAATGGCGGCAGGCCACACGCACTACCTTTGTCTACCTTGACATGAGCGCATAGGCCTGCGCAGCCGAAAACAGAGAGGACCAATTACGTTTCAATCGGGGAAAACGAAAACCTTCGATATCCAGGAGATTCAAATTTTGAAGAGCAAGCAAACAAGTTCCAAGTTCAGGACATATATATTTTCTTAACATTAACAGTTTAAGGACATTCACAGAAAACAATATTTTATGCATGGTTATATATTTTATATTGTAAGAACAGTTTTTCACTGTCAACTCAATACCGGCAAAAAGGGACATCGAAATTTGGCTTGCTCCGATTCATTTCTCGGTCCCCTTTTGCTTCATACTTTTTTACTTACATTCGATATACTTAAGTACTAAATAAATAAAACACAAAAACAGAGAAATTTTAAGTTTATCTACTTGCCTGTCCGGAAGACGCCACGTCCTAGGCACTAATGCCAACGTTTCGGCCTCCCTGCTGGGACGTTTCTCTGAGTGAAATGCCCAGATACTGAATGCAATTTGCCCTGAGGAAGGACACAGAATAAGCAGCGAGGAGAGAAGTGGTCTGGAGCCGACATCGGAAACGTATAATCCTAATCCTATGGCGTCACTTCCCTTTCCTTGGAACCTAAACTATTCTAGTATGAGAATGGACTGACGTCACGTCCCTCCCCTTTGAACCGCCTCTGTGGCAGCGCGAGAATGGGTAATGAGAATAGTAGCGTACTAGAGATGTCATTGGAGACGTCTGATCCTAATCCTGTGCCATCACATCCCTTCTCTTGTAACTGTCCCTGTTTTGTCACGAGGATTGACTGACGTCAAATGCTCCCCTTTGAACCGCACCGATTTTAGTGCGACAATAGCGAGCAACGCTGCAGGCCGGAACTATCATCGGGGACGGCTGATCAGAATTCCATAACGTCACACCACTCCTGTTGGAACCTATCTTAACGTGAGGTTGAGCTAACCTCACATGTCTCCCATTTGAACCACCCTTGCTTCAGGGCGAGAATGATTAACGAGAAGAGCAGGATACTAGAGCCCTTATTAGGGACTTATGTTCCTGACCCGACGACGTCACATTCGTCCCCTTCGAACCGAATCTGTTCTAGCAGGAGGATTGACTGACATTACATCCCTGACATTTGAATCGCCCCATTTCAGTCCGAGAATGGGACATATCAGTCCTTACCTTTGAACCGCACCTGTTTCAGGGCGATAATGGGCAACGAGCAGACTAATGGACTGGAGCGATGACCGGAGACGCATGATTGTAATCACATGACGTCACAACTCTCCCCTTGGAACCGACCGTGTTATAGCATGATAATACACCTCTCACCTTTGAACCGCCGCAGTCTCACCTTGAGGATGGACTGACGTCACACCCGTCCCGTTTCAGCCCGAGAATAAGACGCATCAGTCCTTCCCTTTGAACCGCACCTGTTTCAGAGCGTTAATGGGCAACAAGCAGATTAGTGGACTGGAGCCGTGACCGGAGAGGTATGACTATAATCACGTCAGTAGTATCACCTTGAGAATGGACTGACGTCACACCCACCCCGTTTCAGCCCAAAAATGAGTCGCATCAGTCCTTCCCTTTGAACCGCACCTGTTTTAGAGCGTTAATGGGCAACAAGCAGATTAGTGGACTGGATCAGTGACCGAAGACCGTGACTGGAGCCGTGATATTGACCACAGAACGTCATCGGTGACGTATGACCACCACTGTTTCAGCGCGGGAATGGGCAACGAACAGAGCAGCGGAGTGGCGGCGTCCGAGGCGAGCGCGGCGGAGGTGGCGGCGGAGGCGGCGGCGGAGGCGGCGGCGGCGGAGGCTGCTGCGCGGCAGCTGAGCGAGGGCGCGCGCGCGCTGGGCGAGTGGGCGCGGCCGTTGGCGGAGCGCGTGCAGCGCGCGCAGCGGCGACTCGACAGCCTCGAGGCCACCGTGGCCGCCATGGCGGTGTTCGGCGCCGATGCCGACCAGGTGCGTGCTGGTCTGACTTGGTGGTCAATTTTGGAGTTTCCGATGCTGCTTTCCGAATACGAAATTACGTCAGTTCGCAATCGAAACGCGGCATTGTATGCTTGAGATTCGTATACGAGAAAATCCCTACCATTCGAATTATACAAAATAAAAAAAATCAAATGTGGTTGTTCCTCTCTTTGAGTTAGGTTTCGTACGACTATTCAGGTCAATTCAAATCAATAATGCTTAATTTTAAGTGGCTAGACCCAAACCATGATGCCTGCTCTTCCGTCTGACCACGTAAATTTCGCTACGCTCCTTCCACGATTTAGCGGAGAAAGAAGGTATCACTATGGTGAAAAAGATGCGATTTAAATTTAGCTCAGAGGCTTCTCCTAGGCTTGAGAATATTTGACAGTAAATCTACAGCACGGGACAGCCGGTTTTACTTCCCCTGCGTAGGAAGGCTTAAGAAGGCTCTTTCCTCCTTTAAAGATGCAGGGCTACTATCGGTTTTAACCCAGTAAAATTTAGATGTAGCAGCCCGATGTGCTAACCGTTATACTACCAAAGCCACGCTTATGTTTGTTTTGAATTGGTCATGTGATGCCAGAGTGGCGCGAGGTGCCTTCATATTTCGAGACGGGATTGCCTTATCCTCCATTGCCGCAGGCGTTGAAGCGCCTGGACACCCGCGTGGCGGCGCTGGAGGCAGCCGTGGAGCGTGCGCTCGCCGCCATGTTCCCGCGCGTGGAGACCCTCCTGGCGCATCTCGAGTTCCTGGCGCTGCCGCTGGGCAGCGCTGCTGTCCGCACACCCTCCACCGCCGCTCCGGGCCTGCTATCTCAATGTACGTGACTGCAGTGGCGATGCGGTTGGCGAGTTGTTGATCAAATCCTCTCAATCTTCTTCTGGTTTAGTGTTCCCATTACTTGCGTCTTACTATCTTTCATATAATCTATTTGATGTCTTTACAATTTTTATTAAAAAACTTTTCCTTTAAGCACCTAATTAAAATTATATTGTAAACAGTTAACTTATTACTATTTATTATAAATTGTGATAAAATACACAGCCAACGTTACTTTTTATTTAGACATTGATGCTTAAATATTCCAAGTTTTCATTAGCTGTTAGAGAAGAAGTAAATATGTTTTTTTAATAAATTTTGAATTAAAAAAAATCGGTCTTCAATTAAGTCCGAGGCTGGAGCGTGGTTTTCCAATTGCCCCTTTTTTGTACTTTATAGAGCCTTAACCACCATTAGCCCACTTGTAGGTGCGTGGCAGGTTGCACAATCGGTACAAAATATTACATGCCAGTATATGTTACATTATCATAACTTTTGTGTTTTAAGAAATACAACATATTATATTAACTTATATAATATGTTGTAATGTAATTCAATTGTTGACTCAAAATAAAGTAGATAAACAGTGTCATGTTTTTGTAAAAGCCATGTCAGTCACGGGGTAGTATAGGTGGTTGAGTAGAAATTTCGAAACTTTGTGCCCATTGAGCAATAATGTTGTTAGATGTAACAGACCTGAAAAATCTTTACAATGAAAAATAATAATGTCACATTAAACAAACTCTAATTACGCGACCTGTGTGGTTTTGTCTTCAGCAAGCGCAACTACTTCGAGAGAGTCGCCTGCGAAGTCCTCATTTGTCAGTGCCACGCCCACGCCTGCAACCACGAGCGCTTCTCATCTTCCAGGATCGTCGACGGCTGATTCCTCTTCCCGTAGCATCACCCCCAAGACCATTGCGCCCGCCACGAAAAAGCACCCTTCACCGCACAAGCCCGGCGGATCGAACCACAGAACCACTTCTTCCGGAAGCAAGGCCACTGTCTCGAGCAGTAAATCAGCATCTAATTCGAAACCTGCGTCGCCCAACCCAAAATCCACACCATCCACGTCGAAAATTGTCTTAATTTGTAGGTCGAAATCTTCAAGTTTTAGATCGAGTTCTGGAAATCTCCATGCCAATCCGGGTCGATCCAGAGCTAATTCTTTAACAGGCGAGCCATCCCGTAGCGAAACGCAAGTTCCCGCAAATGTTTTGCAAAATTCTCCTGATTCAAATATGCCTAGTAGTTCCTTTTGTGTAAGGAGAACCACTAATACCTCAGAAGAAATTTCTACACAACCAGACTGCTCAACGTCTTCCAAATCTGTAAGATCAGCTATGAAAACTGGCTCCATGTCTAAAACGTCCATTGAAGGACGAAAGAAAAAATGTAGTCGACCTTCTTCAACCACCCTCAACCCTTCCTGTGACCCACCCTCCTCGACCACATCTACGACATTTTCTGAGTCATCTACAACCAGTACATCGTCGACTCTCCTTTCTTCTTTGCCTATCACTTCCTCGGTAGCGCCGATCCCATCAACTTCTCAACCGATGACCTCAAACTCGATCACTTCCACCAGTGTCCCGTTTATATCGTCAGCAATCTCCACGCCGACTACTTCAGGTGATTCTTCAAATTCGCCAATTATCTCTTTAGATTCTAATAATTTATCTTCAGTTCCCCGAAACAAAAAAGCACATCCGCCAAAGTCTAGTGGTGAACGTCGCAGGAAAATCCTTACTCATCCAACATCGTCCAGTTTCGATAAATATAGCTCATCAACAGCCTTGTCGACTAAAATTCCTTCTACCTCCTCGATTGATAATGGAACGTTACCAACCAATTCCTCGCTTGTTCGTACCGCGATTTCCACCGACACCGTCTCACCAACAACAAACCCATCCTCGTGTAGAGTGACGACTTCGCCGTCTTCCACTCTGTCTACAAGTGACGCTGGGATTGGGTCAGCTTCCTCTCCGAATTTGTCCTCTGGGAATTCCAACTCATCGTCGTGGGAGATGGTTCCCTTTGCAAAAAATTCGCCGGGCGCCTCGGATGATTCGAGAGTGGCTCGGTCGATAGAGAAATCGGAGGTGACGAAGGCGGTACAGGCAGATTCGGTGATGGCAATGGGAGCGGATGTGGAGTTATCGGAGGCGGCGGTGGCGGAGTCGATGGAAGCGGCGGAGGCGGTGATGTCACGGGGAGCAACAGTGGGGTTGTCGGAGGCGACGAGGGCGGCGGAGGAGGCGACGGTAATGGTGAACGTAACAAAGCCAGTGGCGGTAGCAGCAACGACCACTGCAATGGCTGCGGAGTCGTCGGAGGCGGCGAGGGCGGCGGAGGCGACGGAGATTCCGGCGGCGGTAGACGTCGAAGATTTGTCGGAGGCGGCGAGGGCGGCGGAGGCTGTGATGGAAGGGCGGGCGTCCCGAGCTGTGGACGATTCGACGACGACTGGAGCGGGGCTGCGAGCGGATGCTTCAGATGCCGTGGCGGAGGGAAGAGTGGAGCCTCCAGAGGTCGAGAATGCGGCGGAGGTGCTGCTCCAGGCGGCAAGGGATGGCGACATGACGAGGCTGGAGGCGCTTCTAGACGAAGGACGTTGCGAGGTTAGTCTAAGTTTAATCATTTATTTTGTAACTCATGCAGGCTAGTTTCTTATCTTGAGATAACGTAATCTTTCGAAATGTGTGCATCAAATCAAAAACGGTCAGAATGAAATTTGTTAGTATGTGAGAGGTTTAATAATTGGTTCCTAAATCGAACCCGAATAGCGAATTCGGAAATGTTGAGAGATTACTGAACTGTAAAACTACCATCAATCACGAATCAAAGAGAATAAGAGAAACCTGTTAATCTAAGTGGTTAAATTATACCCACATAGGCAGGCTGCTCTGATCTGTAGTTTTCCGTGGATTCTCCGATCAACACCACGCGAATGCCGGAGCAGTACACTAACAAACGGGCCACGCACGATAATTTTTTTCCTCTTCCTTGTCTTACCTTCATCCCTTACGTACACAGACACTAACATGCACTACACTACCACACATGTCCAATCGGGAGCTTTGAGCTTATTCCAGCTGGGGCAGTTCTCGCATAGTGAGAGATATCTGGATGGAGGGACCCTGCAAGTTGACGTGCAGGTCGTGCATCTCTCCATCCAGCGGAGTTAAGTACCCCGGTACGTGCCATGTTAAGAACAAGCGTTAACTTACGAATCTAACGACCACAAGTGACGACCACATGTGACATCAATCAATCAATCAATAGATCGATCAATTAATCGACGTGCAGGTCGGGGTTAGGTTCCCCGGTACTTGCCGTTGTTAAGAACAAGAACGAACTTACGAATCCAACGACCACAAGTGACGGACCTGAAAACATCAATCAATCAATCGATTAATCAATTAATCGACGAGCAGATCGGGGCCAGATCTCTCCATCCAGCGGGGTTAGCTACCCCGGTACTTGCCATGTTAAGAACAAGCACGAACTTACGAATATAACGATCACAAGTGACGCGCCTGGAAACATCAATCAATCAAATAATCAATCAATCAATCAATCGATCGATCAATCAATTAATTGACGTGCAGGTCGGGGCCGGATCTCTCCATCCAGCGGGGTTAAGTACCCCGGTACGTGCCATGTTACGAACAAGCGTTAACTTACGAATCTAACGACCACAAGTGACGCGCCTGGAAACATCTATCAATCAGTCGATCAATCAATTAATCAATCAATGAATCTACCAATCAATCGATGAATCTATCAATCAAGTACCTGCCATGTTAAGAACAAGCACTAACTTCCGAATCTAACGACCACAAGTAACGTCAATCAATCAATCGATCGATCAATCAATCAATGAATCTACCAATTAATCGCTTAATCTACCAATCAATCGCTGAATCTATCAATCAATCGCCGAATCTATCAATCAACCAATTCAATCAATCAATTTGCGTGGCAGGTGAACGCCGCGTGCGGCGTGTCTGGGGGCACGGTGGCGCACTGGGCGGCGCTGCGCGGCCGCGCCGACCTGCTGCGGCTGCTGCTGCGCCGCGGCGCCGACGCCCGACGCCGCGACGCCGCCCGCTGGACGCCGCTGCACGCCGCCGCCTTCGGGCGCAGCGCACGGTGCGTTGGCGTTCATATCACTAGCATCAAGTAAATCGAAATCATTCCAAAACTGTGGTTAAATAAAAAAAAGGAAAGGAACAATTAGAAAGCAATGAGGTACCTTGAATATTGAAAATGAATTAGCCACATGGCAACAATAGTTAGGAATGGTCAAACCTAAACGTGAATCCAATGTATTTATTAATACCCCTAAAAGGCAGCAATGCTGATCAGGTGAGCAAAATTAAAAAAAAAATCGCTGTCAGTTTTCGTTTAGAAAGATATGAGCTTTCTACTTAACCAAATTTCGAGGGTATGTTCTTTAAATGTAAGATTTTAAATGTCTTACCACTTGCTCTTATTAACCGGTCTTCTGGTACAAACACTAAATTTTTGTTAAAATCCTTGGTATGGTAAACAATGGTATGAACACTAACCTGCTGTTATTTGTTCATTATTTTGTTTCACGCGTTGCAATCAATCGTAGTTTTGTCATATGGAGCTACAAATTAGAAAGAAAAAAATAGTTCGTCAGAAATACGTACTCTGAACGTATCTCTAAATTGGTTTTCCTAAAGTTGTTAAAAAAGTGTGACTGCTGAGCTGAGTCATGTTAATGAACATTGCTAGAATTTCCATGAGTTAAAAAGTAGATTCCTAGCACAGAAAAAAACGTAGAATTCTAAAAACTCGTATTTTGGAAAAATTATAAATATTTTTAATTTTTGGAGATTTTCTTTCCTCCTTTTTATCCTTCTTTATCGTCTTTTTCCTCTTCATGCTTCTTGTTTATTTTTCTCTTCATTTGTTTCTTCTTCCTTGCTATTTTCTCTTCTTTCTTTGTTTCTTTTCATTTCTTTCCTTGTTTTAATTGTTCCCACTTTAATTCCTTCATCTTTCTTTCCTTTGTTCTCCTTTTCGTTTTGCGTTTTCCTTCTGCTCGAACGCGTGGTGTGCGTGCTCAGGTGCGTGGAGCTGCTGGTGGCGGCGGGGGCGGAGGTGGAGGGCGCGGACCGCGACGGATGGACGGCGCTGCACCTAGCGGCGGTGCGCGGGGCGGCGGGCGCGACGCGAGCGCTCCTGGCGGCGGGCGCCTGCGCCTCGGCGCGCGACCGCGACGGCCGCACCCCGGCGCACCTCGCCGCCACGCAAGCGCTGCGCAGCCTCCTGGGAGGTGACGGCGGCGCGGACCGCGCTCGAGAAGGTGGTGGTGGTGATGTGGCCGATGTTTGTGGCGCTCGAGATGCCCATGACGCCCGAGACATCTGAGTAGTTCTCGCGTGAGACATCTGTGCACTCGTAAACCGATAAAGCGCGAGCGAGGCACACGCGAAGAAAGACATTGCGCTTGTGCGGTAGTCATCTACGCACACTGATGCCGTTCAGAAAACATCGGGTAGAATTCGCGCGAGATATGTGCACTTCACCGTTAAAACGATAGCTGGGCACTCGAAATGGAAGAGGGTAAGCTTCCAAGGCCGGCGACAGTAACTTCTTGACTTTCCGGGAGACGCAGCGTTCTAGGTGGCAACATTTCGTCCGCCATTCTTCGTCCTCCCTCGTTGCAAAATGTGTCATTTCGCCCTGAGGACGGACTCGTAATGGCGCTGAAACCTTGGCACCTAGGTCGCGGCGTCTCCCGGACTTCCGAGAAGGAACACGAGAAGAGAGACTGCGCACGCGGAGTGGAGCCATCTGCGCATATTATAGCTGTTCGGAAAACATCGGGCAGCCTAATGCGTGATAGGTCAGACATTGGTTTTGGCTGTGTTACTAATTTGTTACATTGGTTTTCGTGTGTGTTTTCTTAAATGAATTATGAGTTTTTTCTGGCCTCCTGTCGCAAAGCTACGAAGTCGATGTTTTTGAGACGGTATTAAATGTACTCGTGTTCTCCCTCTGTGATGACAGTTTACACACCCCAGAAGTCGACTCCGCTGCTGATGCCTTTTGTCATCTGCCACGCATGAGACACAGGCTGTCCGGCGACTGAGGCACCTGGCCGGCTGGCAGTCCACGTAGCTGGAGCAACCCCATCGTCCAGGAGACCCATGCCGCCTACATTCGAAAAGCACATACCTGACACCCAACACGACACCGATACCCATGACGACAACAATTATTGTACAGTAAACTTCCTCGGTTCGAATTCATGACTTCTTGGCTGACCGGGTGACGCCGCGTCGTTGGCTGAGAGGTCCTCCGTTTCGCCTGTCATATCGCAGGCTTCCTCAGGGTAGTGACGTCACTACCCCGAAGAAGCCTGCGAGACGAAATGTCGGCCTCTCAGCCAATGACGGGGCGTCACCCGGTCAGCCAAGAAGTAACAATCATTGAGCCTTCAAATGGTGTCCAAGATGCCATTAGTCGCCCGCCATGCCTTAAACGCTTACAACAAAGGCATTCTGTGACGTACCTGAAACGACTCGAATTTTAATAACAACAACGAATGAATAGAAGGACGTGAAGGTGACTTTGAAGGACGTTCTTAATTCGAAAGACATTTGCGACGCATAAAACGCCCACGACCCTGCGCACAAATACCCACAGAGATGATCATTGTGCCTCTGTGAAGTGTGTCTGTTGACGTCTACTGCTCCCTCGCGTCGTATCACACGTTTGGCCACTACACCTGCGATGGTGATGGCTGCCTTACAAAATTTACGACAAACTTTTCTCGTATAATAAATGGTTTCCGAAAACAGTGGGATCTAATTTTGAACAATAAGGGTTAATTAAAATATATTTCTCACACTGAAAAATTGTTGTTTTTTTGGAGACATGAAATAAGGTATTTAATTGCATCGTGCCAGTGCGTCAAAATGTCGCTAGTGTGAACTGGACCTTAGAAAACTTGAAACAGGTTGGCACACACATCGTACTTGGCTCCTAAGATGGCTGCAATGTCACGCCTACTCTTGGGGTATTGGACGGACATGCCGACTTCAATGAAATCAGTCTGTAAATTCCAAAATCACTGTGGCATCCATGTGTCATCTATCACTTTAAGTTACTCAAAATCTTTCCGTCTTCCTCTGTTATACCTGCACCTGTTTCTTTTTCTTGTAATTTTTCCGTGATCCACGTTTTCTGACGAAATATGTCACTGTATATTTTTGAAGAAATTATGGTTGAGGAATTGTTTGCTGCATTTTCATTTATTTTCATTGCATGTGCAGAATGTCTGTGCATCACGTTGGCTTTGTTTAAGTTTCGTGAAGTTTAAGTATCGCTTTTGAGTTTAGCTGTTTACCTCCTTTTATGTTCGGTTTGCCAGTAACACATTGTTTTGATATTAATGGTTCTCGAAGGAGGTTTATTAGTTTGGTTTATTTGAAATGCTACATAGAATTGATTTCTCCCACCATTTTTTCGACATTATTTTCTCTCATACACATGTACATTCTACGGAATCCTACATTGATATTCTTTCGGTTCACAATAGAGATGTTTCCAGATGAAAAAGAAAGTATAACCCGCTACAGTAGAGATCGCTTTTCAATTCAGGGAGAACTCACAGCTCTAGTACTGACCACATCTCATCTCTTAAACATTGGGAAACGTTCGTACCTATCATGGACCAGAAGGAAAAAACATAATATAATTGTACCAAAACGATTTAGAGTGAAGTGAAAAATACTGAAAACTTGCAGCAAAAATAAAATACAAATATCCCAGAATAAATGTTTTATACTTCTAGGGCATCTAGAGAAGTTGATCAGATTTTGCCAATGAACTTGTGATGGTAAATTTCAATGAGAAAAGTTATCATGTGACAGTTGACCCTGGTTGGCAGCCAATTAAACAAACAATGATGTTTTGCGAATGACATTCTGACACAATCATAGCGATTCCGATAACTCGACAAAGCAATGTGAATTACCTACCAATCGTTTCTACTGCATAATTTTCTCTATACAATTAGAGACTCAAACGATCACCTCTTCAAGAGAGTCACCGAGCATCAAAAAGAAAAGTGATATTAACTTTAACAATGATATTTAATGTATTACTTACTATTTGGACTGTATAATTCTAAACAAGCTGTAACAACTATTGTACTTCAACTTCTGGGTCAATGAACCCCTTTTTATCTCTCTTTCATCCAGTTTTCCTGATTCGTTGAGCTGAGATGGCTCTAGGAATCGCTCCTGAACATAAATGGAACTTCATTATCTGTGCATGTCTTATAGAATTCGGTGAGAAATATAGTTATTCAAATTATTGCTTTCCATTTTGTCGCGGCAGGAAGTATTATTCCTTCATGAAGGACATGATAAATATTAGAGCCCAAATCTATAGCTGATTTATCCTTGAAAATAGATTCCATTACATTGAAGCGAATATTTTGTTAACAATTCTTTCCAAAAACGCTCATTTATTTCCGTATTCATAATTCAACTTGAATATGGCTTAGGGTAGGGATCACTGAATTATGAAAACGTGCACAAAATACACTTCTCTCCGGAGAATGTAATACAGTTTTAACTGTTTTTGACGTAAAATAGTTTAAAAAATCAGGGGCAAATGTCACGTGTAAAACATTGTTATTTCTCACCATATACTCGTTGACAAAAATGATATTTTACGAAATCCTAACATAACTTAGAAATATTCTGAATCATGCTGTTCATTCTTCAATAAAGACAATAATGGGAAATAAGAATTGCGGACCAACACTGAAAATCGCACGTTGAGGAAGGAGCGGATTCAGAACTTCTCTCAGAAGGGAACTTTTTCTTTCTTCTCCTCACCACATAAAAGTTTTTTAACAAAACAAATTGTTAGCCCTAAAACTGTACAGTGATAATTAAAATATTCTTTTGAATGTTATGCAATTAAAATGTAACTGTTTTGAATAAATTGAATAAAATTTCAAAAAAGTGCATGACCTCTGTGCAGGGGGGTCCATTTGGCCCCCTCTCTGTCGCCATCCCCTTCTGGGGGTGATACAGATGATTACGATGACAACCGACATTAGGACTGCTAGGAGAGCCCCAGGTGATGAACTGCAAA